GCGCTCTACCACTTGAGCTATAGCGCCACTTCCGGTTTTCTGGTGGTTTATTGGAGATAGGAGTCTCACAGTCTTTCCTGCCCAGAATGGCTTTGAGCAGCGATGCTCAGATCTCAGCCTCCTGAGTAGCTAGGATTACAGGCGTGAGCCACCAGCGCTCAGCTCAACATGTGACTTTTGAAACCTGATCTTGGACTTCAGTGAGGGCAAAGCAAGTAGCACCAAATCTACGAGGCCTTCACTTGCCAGAACATCTCATCCTGAGATACCTATCTCGTGTCCCAGGAGAAAAGTTCTGTCATTAAACTGATGATGTTTTACTCCAATCACCTATCCTGATGTCAGGTTGCTATGTCCAGGCCTGCCAATCAGTCCACGGGAGAGCAGGTCAGACCAGTCAGTAGGGAAGACAGTCAGGGAAACAAAGATGAGGGAAATCTCCCAGCTCTGGTAACCAGCTGGGCCTCGGGCCTCTTCTCTTTCCAGCTCAATGTCCAAAACAGGTTCTGTACAGGGATTGGGGGTTGGGGGTGAGGCACAGGCACGAAGAATCAAGAAGAACCTGTTATACAAGCTGGAGCTCAGGAAGAAATGCGGAAGAGCCAACAACAGGGCCTAAGTGGCCTACAGGAATGTGTGGCTCTCAAAACATGGAAATGGGCCATGGAGGGGGGTGGGCTATCAAATGGACAGGAAACACTTAGGAGTCTGAAAAAGCCAATGAGACTCACTTGACCTGCAGGACCAACCAAAAGCCAGGGCAGGACAGGCTTGTGAGGCACCTGTTAATTAGTCTTACTGACCAGTTCAGTGCACAGCCTCTATCTTCCAACACCAGCAGCTGAAGTGGTGAGAACCCAGGCAGTGATATCTCCTTGGTTTTCCTTTGACATGTAAAGTTACACTGATTTTTCTGAAAGAAGAAAGGCATTTGGGAATGTGTTCCCAACCATAACCCTATCTTTCTGAGAAGTCATTCTCGGGTCAAGCCTATGAGAAGGACAAGTGGTAATTAAGTTGAGCCGTGTGAATTGGCATAAATTTGACTGTTTCTGACCTACCACACATACATTTACACACTTTCTCTGTGGGAAACAACTTAGCAAGGTGAGGCTTATCAGCGCTGGACTAGAGGCTCCAAGAGCAGATATCTGAGATGGAGGAGTCTTGCTCTGTTGACCAGGCTGTCCCCAAACTCCTGGGCTCCAGGGGTCTTCCTGCCACAGCCTGGTGATATAGCTGGGTTTCCGGGTGCATGCCATCACACCTGGCTAGGATCAGGTATTTTATAGTTTACATTTTAATGTTAGAAGGGGCTTCAGATGGGCATACTAGCATGGCTTCTCAGATCAGGGGTGGGAATTTTTCCCCAAGATTACTAGTAGTAAGTAAGTGGGCAGCTCGATCACCATGTCCTTGTGTCTCATTCACTAGGACCAAAATGCTGCTCTCATTTCTACCCTAGGCCCACAATCTGGCCGAGCCCTCTGGGTAAGACTGGTGTTATACAAACAATAATTTGTTTTTCCTTCCTCGAGGTGCTTTCGGAGGCAGGGATTGTTTCTGTCCTACCTGCCAGGCCCTTTCCTCACACACCTGACTCAAAAGGCACAGGCTCCAGTAAACACAAGGGGACAAAGGGTTCCTGAATAGATGGACATTTCAACCCTGAGGTATTCCTGTCAAAGCCATCCAACCTTCAATACTTGCTGATCTCTGCTGCAAAAAAAAAGAGCTTGACAGTGGTAGAGTTGCTGCCTGGCATTGACACAGCTCAAACACCACGCGGAAAGGTGGGCTTAATGAGTTAATTCTCAGGAGGTGTCTCCTCTACATGGGAATGGGAGGAAGCTTCCATATGGGGACGGTAAAGACAAAAGCACTGAAGGTAAGTCAGCTCTAGATGTCCGAGGGTTGTTCTAGGGGTATCCTGTCTCTGTGCAACAAAGGCCTGAAGAAAAAGGGCTTTGTTAGGAGCCACATATTATGATACAGGATGCCCCAGGATCAACAGAGTCCTTTTCCAGAGATTCTTCTACAAATTGGCCTGATTCCAGGTGCTTATCAAATCTGATCATGGTGATGACCTTAAGAGAGAAAGCAAACTGTCACTCTGATGCTCCACCAAGCCATCTCCCATTTCCTCCTGTGTTGTAAGACACAAACGGTGAGGATGGCTGGCCTGCCAGGTTAAGAGGAGGAATCAGGAAACCATGTTTGTCATGAGAGGTGCTATGTAACATGGTCAGAGGGCATGTGCCTCACCACGTTGCCTGGTGCTATTAGTCATAGCTTCAAATCACTCCTCTTCTAGAGGCTAAAGGATGAAACAAGGCAAGATTGCCTGAGGCAAAAACAGGAAGAATCACAGTGTCAGCTTCAACACATTCAAATTGCAGAGAAGGAGGAAACTTCCTCTTGGGCCTGGCAGGGAGCCACAGGGCCTCACTGACCTTCTCTGATACATACTCCTATTGCTCAAGTGAGGGGAAACATGAGGATGGCTTTTAAAGGAAGGAAATCTGAGAGGGGCTAAGGGACAAGCCAAAGGTCACACAATAAAGCCAAATGGGGAAACAGCCAAGCTGTTTGGTTTCAGAGCCAAGTGGCCCAACTAGAGGATCAGTCCAAACAGCCCTTGGACTTCTCTTCATTGGCATCTTCATCTGTAAGCACTTCCCCACCTGTACCAGCTAGGGTAGCAAATGCAGGACAATGATGTCATTCTATACAGGTCAGGAGGAAAAGTTAGCCCTTATTCTAAAATAGTCCACATGTGAGTTATTGTTCTCATCATTATGACTAACAGACCCTAGCAATGCCAAAGGATGCTAAGAGCATCCACTGAAGCCTCTTAGAAATAGAGTAAGAAAAGTGAGACATCTACTCAGCTACCACCAGCAGCCTGGATCTCCAAGAAGATCCAGGAAATAAACAAGTTTAGACACAGTGGTGAGGAGCTGAAGGATCCGGAGATGGGGTGGAGAGCTATACCTGTTCCTATCACCACCGTCCATGCAGTAACCACTGCTAAAAGCAGGACCTTCTCTGAGGAAAGGGAAGTAAAGAGCAAAGGGATGATGGTGACTGCTGCTCAAGTGGCTTTGTGCACAGCTCAGGGCCTGCTCTTGACCATGAACACGAAGCAAGGGACCCTGAGTGGACAGAAAACCACTCAAACTGCTGCTTTCTTGCTCTCTGTGGCTGATAAAGGCCTATCAGGCTGGGAGGAACTGAGACAGCAGCCACATCATTATGCATGCTTACAGCTGCATCTTTAGAACAATCCTGCTTTTGCATCTTTGGTACAATGATTTCTTTAGCAAAGACTTGGCCTTCTCTGTCTTTCCCCTGGGTAGATGAGTGAGAGATGGGTTTAACCTCTCATCTAGTGGCAGGTAGCTGTCATGCAGTTTCTACCATAGCCATTATACTATCTCTTACCGAGAAAGATGGCTGCAACCTAACAAAATGGCAAACAGTAAAAACTGAGCAAAGGCAAAAAAAAAAAAAAACCCTGCCTTGTGCCAGAGAAGTCCAAAGCCAGCATAGGTCTCTAGTGTAGACAGATTACGTTGTAGGCTGAAGTCTACTTGAGACCCACTTAAGGGTCCACGGGCACATGGGTGTGTTCCTGCATAGGGACAGGGGTTCTGAAGGGCCCAAATGTAGTCCCTTCTCCCCTTCAAGTAAGAGTGCATACTGAGTTGGCTGGAACTGCTGACTGGATTCAGATTTTTCCCTCCTAGAGAAGAGTAGAAACATGGGGGCAAAAGTAATCTCTTATTCTCTGATTTCAATGAACCAAGAAGAGAGAAAAGATAGAATAACAAAACCTCAGACAACCATACCAATAGCCCCTCCCCATCTGAGACCTGGTAAGGCCCTTGAGCCACAGTCATAAAATTGGCTCATAAAGCAAAGAATAATATGCAGACCAAGGTCTTCAGTGCTCCCTAGGACCAGACTTCTATACAGTTATAGAGAGTAGTGACCAATTTATCACTTATGTCTGCTCCACTTCTATCTCTATCAGGCATCCAGGCAGCAAGTGCAAGAAACTTAAAATAGACTGATTTGCAACAGAATATTCTATGATCAAAGGCAATGGAACAACACTGAAAGTCTTGCAAGGGAGGAAGGGAGGGAGAAGGAAAGGAGCATGACTGGAGGACTACATTCCCAAACAAGGTACAACAGACCACGGTTCACATGTAACACCGACGCCTCAGAAAAGGTGAACAGTGTAGAAAATATGCGAGAAAATATTAGATGAAGTTCAACATTCAAGTATGAGAAGCAAATGCCAGACAAATCAGCATCAGCCTCTGTTGTCCTTTTCACCCAGCTCAAGGTGTGTAGCCTAACACGAAGGCTACCTGTGCAGAGACAAAGGCAGCCTTGGTCAGTGACCAGTGCTTTTGACTTCACAGCTATTGTAGGGAAGTTGCTGAGTACTAACAGCATCTTGTGATCACATCTATTTCCAGAAGGTACTACTAATGGCTCTATTTTACATCAAGGGCATTACAAAATAGATGGTCCAACAGAGAAGGAATCCCCACAGTTCCAACTCTCAGTGTCCAGTACCTATTCCCATTGTGCTATTCTGGTGTGCTGTGGAGATGACTCCTACCCAAAAACACGACCGGAAGCCCACTGATTCCAGATATTAGTGGGAAGACCAAGGTGAGGGAATTACACATAAAGATATAACAAGAAGAGACAAATATGGGAACTATATCTGACTTTAGAACTGACACCAGTGATTGAATTTCCCAAGAAGCTAGTCCTAGGGTGAGCATGTTTGGATCAGTACCTTGTGTAACCATGTCCTGACCTCAAGAGGGTAAACAGGGGTCTTTAACAATTGCCCCTCATTGAGTAGTTTCACACAAAGAAATTAAGACAGACAGAGAGAAAGAGAGGAAGGAAGGAAGGAAGGAAGGAAAAAAGGAAGGCAAGAAGAAAGGCAAGAAGAAAGGAAGGAGGAAGGACAGGACAAGAAAGGAAACTCATTTACTCTCTTCATGGAAACTTGACTGCATTTTTCCCTTCCATTCTCACAGAGCCAGCTCCCTATACCACATGTGGGCTCAAATAAACAGGCAGGGCACCTGCAAATGCAGATAGGTGCCAAGTCTGTCAACATCGATGCACCACACTACACACTGCCTTCAGTCTTCCAGCTGGCATGAAAAGGCTTAGGACACAGGACAGATCATATCTTACACTAAACAAGACTCCAATTCATACGTGTTGGGGAAAGTGGCAAAGGAATAAAATCAATCACAGAACATCCAATACTGGTGTGTGAGAAGGTGGAATTCAGGGCTAACACAGGGACCCAAGGATAGCTCTGGCTGAGGAGGAGCAGCAGACATATTTGGCTGAGTGACTGTGCAAGTCACTCTAAAGGCAAGGAAGACTGGAGGGTGGAGGACATGCATGCACCCCTCCCTCCCTCACACAGCCAGAGCTGACGGCCACAGCCCCTCCACCAGACATAGGTAGGAAGGCCCTGCAGGACAGGAGACCTTGTGACGTGGCCCCGTTTCCATCCCTTCTGTCTTCAAAGTGCATTATCAGTGCAAGAAGTAGGGCTGGATGCCAGGGGGCCCAACTCTGAGAAAGGGCTGTGCCAGCCAGCTCCCTCTATCTCCTCTGGCCTCCCTTTGCCCACCCGTGACCCTTTTCACACTAAGACCAGAACTCCTGCTGGATCTCATAAGGGTTAGGCTTGTGTGTGTTCAGTTCAGCTCTGCACAGGGGCACAGTGCTGTCCTGACTCTGCCCCTCTGCATCCAGGTCCAGAAGCGTCCGTTCAGTGGAGGGCAGAGCCCCTGCCTGGAATGGGAGCAGGGCTGGAAGTCCAGGCCGCTCCTCCACAGTGCTGCTGCTGCTAGCAAAGCAGGAGTCCAGGTTGCTAGGTGTCTCCGTGCTAGAGCTGTTGGCTGGGGAGGCGCTGCGGGCATGGCTGGGGGACACAAACCACCAAGGGTCCAGCCGTTGCCGGTTGGCAGAAGGACGTGGCCGAGGCAGAAACTCCAGAGTCTTAGGTCTCTCCAGTGCAGAGTCTTGCTGTGTGTTCCAACGCCGTGGAGTTGGTGGAAAGACCACATTGGGGTCAGGGAGACGGGGAAATTCACCTGGGTCTCGGCTGGGACTAGGGGTTTTCAACATTCCTGGTCAAGGAGACAAAAGGAGAAGCATTCCATGATGGCACCATAGTTCCAGGTCTGATATTGATACCTGACAAGTAAGACAGATACTGACCCACACAAGCTGGACGCTGAGTTTGTAAATAAACTTTTGGGAATATACTATGGATGCTTTCTAACAAAAGCAGTATTGTTCAATATTTACCAGAGAAACTGACCCACAAAACCTAATTATTCATCTTCTTGTCCTTTCCCAAACAGTTTGCTGACCTATGACAAGGAATGCCAGTCATTCAGTGTTCAGCCATTTAATCACCAAGTGACAGAAACAGAGCCAAGTAGCGTAAGTTTAAAAGTGAGGAATACAGAGTCTGTTCCCAGAGAGGTTATATACCTGAGTATAATAAACCAATATATAGGGGGAGAGGTCAAGTGAATGACAGAGGACAATTGCCACTGGCACTTAAATCCCTTGTCCCACTGGACTAGGGACTGCTTCCGACGCAGACTCAGCTAGGAATGGTGGCAGTCCTAGGATCAGATGATGCACTCCCCAGAGTCTCTGGTGTCAGATGCATAAGGCAAAAGTGTACACACGGATACAATGTGCCTGGTCACCTCACCGTGTCTGAAGAGGTGGTGTGAGTCAGGGATGACCGCTACAGAGCAAGAGGAATGAGCAGAAGCTTACTTTCTGAGTGTGTCTGAAGCAATATGATCATGGAAAGCAAGGGTCCAGCTCTGTGGGAAAGCACCTCTTCTAGGTGCAGGGCAGATTACTTCCTAGTAGCTGCCAACACCTCAGGAAATAACCAGAAACCTGATTCATGAAAGCAATGTCTTATCCTGGATACCACCAGACACAGGTCTTGTGCTTCCTAGAACTTGCCTGTCTCCTTTTAATCTCAGGGAAGACCCCCGCTGGGGTCTGTCAGCCTTGGCTATGTCCCTGAGACAAGATCAGTTTGTCATGCTCGGCTGAACAAGATGAGGAACAGGACTTACATACAGAAGTAGGAAATGTTTAACACATTCTGGCTCCCTGGGAGCCACAAAGAGAGAAGAGGAACTCACCTGCTCCAGGGCTGGGGGCCAACCCATTGCTGGAGGGACTCCTGCTGGCTTGGAGAGCTGATGGCTTAAGGGCACCATCAGAAGGAGTCCGTCGGTGACCACTAGGCTGTGCGGGGGCAGTGAGGGTGACATGGGTGGGGGTCAGGGATTGGTTGGGGTCTCGCTTGAAGCGCTCCACACGAACATTGACAAGGGGGTTGCGGGTGCATGGGGCCAGGGGTGGGGCCTCGACAGGGCTGACTGGCATCTCATATACCACAATCTCATCACTGTCAGAGCGCAATAGGGAGCGTGTGGAATTGCACTCAGAGATAGAGGACAGGGAGAGCAATGTCAGGGAGGCGGAGGGGTCACCTAGCAACAACATGGGTTCTTCTTTCTTGAAGAGCTTTCGAGAAGGGGGGCTGGTGCTCCGACGAGGTCGGCTGGCCCGCTGGAAAAGACCCTCACGCCTCTTCTTCTCCTCCCGAGCTGGTGGCTCAGGCTCCTCTGGGGGAAGCAGCTGGCACTTCCCCGCTTCTAGCAAGTCAAAGCCTAGGCCTGTGGCTGCCAGAACAGCCCCGCAGCTGAGCAGAGCCACCTCACAGCGGCGGTGGTGGGTACCACTACGCTTGAGGCTGTTGGTTGGCGTCAGTTGAGGGGTACTGGTGGCCGAGTTGACTGGGGTGGGCTCTTCATGGACTCCATCACTGGAGGGGCCATCCCCATCCTCTCCACGAGGAAATGGGATACAGAGGTAGGACTGGTTGGGTGAATGCTGTAGGTGACTCTCTCCACTCTTTGGAGCTTCACTATCCTCATCCTCTGTGAAGTAAAGAATGGATGGAAAATAGAACAAAAAAGCAAGAGTAAGAATCTGGTCCTTTTTCCTCAAACCCAGGCGACCTGACTCAATGTCTGGGATGCAAAGTTCCAATAGCCTAATAGGAGGGACATGTAATTGGACACTGAACCAATAGGGCTGCATCTCTCCCTCCCCTCAATTCAGATGTGACCAACACAGGGAAATCAATCTTCATTCTGGAGCCCATTTTCCTATTTACAAAAAAGAGAATACACTAATTTGCTACTTCTTCCTTTTTTGTATGATATTGGGGACTGAACCCAGGATCTCATGTTTACTAGGCAAGAATTCTAACACTGAGCTATATTCTTCATACCATCGAAACCCTTAATATGAGTTTCTAGAAATTGACTAGAAAACAGTCCTATATTTTGTACCTTAAAATTAGAAGGGCGTTTGGATCTCTAGAATGATAGCCTAGTAACGTAAGACTGTCTTTACCAAAGATTAATATCCTCTACATGGGTGAAGGCCAATCTACTCCATGGACTAACCTATTGTAATGGAAATCTAGAGATAACAATATTATCTGACAGAGAGAAAGAGAAAAAAGTGAGTATGAGAGAGAGATGGAGGAAGAGAAAGAGGGAAGGAGGAAAAGAAAGGAGGGAGGGATAGAGGGAGAAAGGGGAGGGAGGGAAGAAAGGAAGTAGGAAGAGAGAGAGAGAGAGATCGATTTTAAAAATAATTTCCCATCATTCAGTAATTGGAGGACAACACTGGAAAGCTTCCTGGAAGGATGCATTATTTTCTCTAACCATCCTCCACTTTGAAACTCCCCAAATTAATATATGAAGACAGACTCAGGAAAAAAAATGTCTGATTCAAGGTCTAATCCTTTTATATAGCCCTAAGAAGATTATTACTGGCCCCTGGGGTAAACTCCAGGTAGAAAGCAACTGTGATTTAAAAAGATTCAATGAAATGAGAAAACAGACTAAGGAGAGCGACAGAGTTGTAGGCTGGGAATCAAGTAAAAGATCAAACAAACTGCATGACCCCAGGGGTCCTTAAACAGTTCTGGAAGACTGACCAGAAAGCCTTGAGAGAACAGGGAGACAATCAAGACAATCAAGGTAAGAGCAATGCTTACCCATCTCCATAAGGCTGGTAAATGCTGGCAGGGCTGGGCTGCTCCGTGGGCCCTTCCCCAAGTTTGGGGCACTGGATGACCACTGTTTGTATCCATCTACCAGGGACTTGAGGCTGAAAAGAGGAAATGAGGAGACTGTCACAACAAACTCCTTTTCTTATTCTAGCTATCCCAACAATCCTATAAGCAACAACTCTTACTGAGCCTACTTGTTTCACAAACAGAAATGCACATGCTCTATGGGAAGCAAAACAGCAGTATAACCCAGCCCCTCCATGCTCCCTGCGCAAAATGTGGTGGACAGGTAAGAAAGCAGACAGAAATAATATGGACTGCCCAGCTGGTAGGGATCTTGCATGAGCCATTCTTAAGGGAGAGGCAAGCAAATCACAGACACTGAATAAAACCATATTCATGACATCAGAAGTACTGCAATGCAAACTAAGCATGGAGCAGATGAATCAATAGACATGGGCTGGGCCACTCCATTCATACAATGTCTCAAATTCTCCTTCCATGCTTCTGTTTGGCCTGCTGAGGTAATTTTCAAAGTCATCCACTTAAAAAAAAAAATCCAAACAACAATCAATCAACAAAGTTGCACCAACCAAGTGCTCTTTGGGACAGACCTATGTGAATAGGACATTACATTGTACATGGTCCTTGTTTATCTACGCATGGTTAGAAAAAGGACAGAAGCTCACTTTCAAATCTCTGCAATCAACTCATTTGGCAAGCCGGAAACTCCCCAAGGATACAGACTGGGTCCTGCACCACCCTCTGATACAAAGGGGTATCAAGAGGTCAGAAAGTCCTAGCCTCTTTCCTAAAGGGCAGTAAAAAGGAGCATTGAGACATCTGTGTGTTATAGAGATTCAGGATTATAATAAGAGATGGCTCTATTTTCAGTGTTAAATACATGCTCAATGAAAGCCCTCTCTAGTGATCCAGGCTACCTAAGGGATTCAGAAGGACTAGCTTTCTCCTTGACCTCAAAACTCTGCTTCAAATCCCAACCTCTGCTAGTTTCAACAAAAATATAGAGCTAAGCGGGGCAAAGGTGGCTCACATCTGTAATCCTAGCTACTCAGGAGACATAGATCTGAGGATTGCAGTTCAAGGCCAGCCCAGGCAGTAAAGTCCATGAGACTCCGACCTCTAATTAACCACTAGAAAACTGGAAGTGGTGCTAAGGCTCAAAGTGGTAGAGCACCAGCCTTGAGCGAAGCTCAGGGACAGTGTCCAGGCCAAGTTCAAGCCCCACAACTGACAAATTAAAAAAATAAATAAACAAAAGAAGCTCAGGGACAGTGTCCAAGCCAAGTTTAAGCCCCACAACTAACAAATAAAAACAATAAATAAATAAAATTACAGAGCCAGAGAGAGGCATGCTGCTAAACCTACACTTCGAGATCCCTAATTGAAAACTTTATAATGTCACTTCCAGCTCTTATCTCAGTTCCTCTAGATCTAAGCATATGAAAGATTAGCAAAATCAAAAATAGTGCTTAAGACTAAAGGACTTTTCCCCTAAAACTAAGGGTGCCAGAAGTATCTCAACAATTGAAGTGGCTAGGGAAGTGATAGATCAACACAGGAATTTTCCCAATGTGCATGGTGGTTGGTATTGACCTCAAAAAAAAAAAAGAAAAGAAAAGAAAAGAAAAAGCTTAGCCCCTATAGTGATGAGGCTTAATTCTATGGGAATATGAGAGGAATGAAATGAAAAGGTGATTATTACCAACCACAATAGCTGGTGAGTAGAAGCTGGACTCACCCCAAGTGGAAATGTGGAGATTCTGATGGAGTACTTAAGCCATTAGCTTTTTCCCGTTTCTGAGGGGATCTTCAATGAATAAAGAAAATCAGAAGCTGGCAGGGCAGACTTAGCCTTTCCCACATTGAACACGTAAGACTAGGCTTGCAATATGTGGTCAAATACCCTCCCCTTGTCCAGTCAGCAAGCCCACACCAGGAAAGAACTCAACAAGATGGCTCTGCTTGAGCTGCCTTGGGTCCAGGCTCTCTCCATCAAGACCAATGTTCCTGGACAGTAATGAAGTTAACTGCAGATATCCACAGATACCTAAGCCATATGTCTATAGACAAATGTGTGTATTTCTTATGGATATCTACTGCTGGTTAAAAGGAGAAAGATGAGAATTCACATACTATTACAAAATTCAAGATAGCTTTATGCTACTTACCTATATTTTTTCAAGTCAACAGACACTAAAATTAGAAATGTTATCATGTAGAGGCACTTAAATAGTTTTGATAGTTGAGCGAAGCTGGCTTATTCCTATAATCCTAGCTACTCAGGAAGCTGGAATCTAAGGATCATGATTCAAAGCCAGCGTGGGCAGGAAAGTCCATGACATTCTCATCTCCAATTAACTACTAAAAGAGCCAGAAGTGGAACTGTGGCTCAAGTGGTAGAGCATGAGCCTTTATCAGAAAAGCTCAGGGCCAGTTCCAAGGACCTGGGTTCAAACCCTAGGACCTGTACCAAACAAAAGAAAAAAAATTGACACCAGTAAGATATTTACTCAAGACTGTACTGTACTGTATAGAAAGTACTTTCAGCTCTTTAATAGGAACCAAGAAGTATAATTTAAGGCAGTATTTTTTAATTGCTTCAGAAATTTACAACAAAGGAAGTTTATGTGGGGAAGAAGAAATGTTCAAAGTTAATATTTACCAGTGTGAAATAAAGTTAATTTTCTACCAAGACAAAAACTATGTTTAAATGAAGCAGAGCCAAAGAAACTACTTGATCTTCAGCCTGGTTAACACTCTCTGCCATTACAATAATCTTGGAAATAGCTGGGTGCCGGTGGCTATGCCTGTAATACTAGCTACTCAGGAGGCTGAGATCTGAAGATCGCGGTTCAAAGCCAGTCGGGGCAGGAAAGTCCATGAGACTCTCATCTCCAATAAACCACTAGAAAACCGGAAGTGGCTCTGTGGCTCAAGCAGTAGAGCGTTCACCTTGAGCTGAAGAGCGCAGGGGTAGCGCCCAAGCCCAGAGTTCAAGCCCCACGACCGACCAAAAAAAAAAAAAAATCTTGGCAATAGCAAGGATTCAGGGTGACTAAGTTTTTCATACTCTACTCTAGCCCAGTGTTTAAAAGACAGACTGGAAAGTTCTTTCTTGGTAGAGGAGAACAATTTGTTTTTCCAAAGGAGTCAATTGCTGAATTCATACATTGCATAGTTTGTTCTACATGCCTAAATTTAAAATTTCTCTCTTCAAAGGTATCTAGTTATTTTTGAAGATTGGTTTTACAGTCAGTCCTTTTGAACCAAACTGTTATTTTTAGATCTGACATAGGAAATAAATTTTGAGGCCAGTTACAGGTTCAGGGCACCCATAAGCCTAATGGTCAACCTTAGAAAGTCTTTGGAAAGTCACTAAAAAAGGTGAAAAGGTGCCAGTGGTTCATGCTTGTAATAGTAGCTACTCAGGAGGCTGAGACCTGAGGATTGTGGTTTGAAGCCAGCCTGGATAGGAAAGTCTTTAAGATTCTTATCTCAATCAGCAAAAAGCTGGAAGTGGAACTGTGGCCCAAGTGGTAGAACACTAGCCTTGAACACATTGAGGACAATGCCCATGTTCATGCCCCACAACCAGCAAAAAGAAAAAAAAAGAAAAAGAAAAAACAAGGATGAAGAGTTGTCCTCACACTTAGAAAAGTCAGGGAATTAGAGTTTAACACCAAGAATAAAATCATATATAAGCCATAATTTCTATGCTTTGGGTATGAAAGAGAGGGAGGGAAAAATCATCACAACTAATAATTATACATACTTGGCACAAGCCCACTCATCTATGCACTTCACAAAGATGGACTTAGCTAATGCTCATGTTGTCCATCTGAGCTGGGTACTAGTATTATCCATATTCTTGGGATGAGAAAACACATGCTCACACAAGTAGGTGCAGTGGAGCTGGGACTCATGTCCAATCAGTCTCAGGTAAGCATCTAAGCTCTTCACTACTAGGCCACAAATTCCTCGCCTGTGAAAAACACAGATACAGGGGGAAAACTGCCTCCTTAGGCTTTATGCCCACAGTGAGTAACCCTAAGCTCTTCCCAGAGGAGCTCTCACACGTGTCCATGGGTGATAAGGTGAGGCCTGAAAGATCTTCAAGTAGCCCTACACGTACACTCTGTGACACTGTGGACATCTGGTTCTCTGCCTGTCCCTGTTTCAGGACAAGCTTCTTATTAACCCCTGCTCGCTCTTGTCTTTTTTCTGAATGGGTGTTTTAAGGGGAAGAGTATGCATGATGTAAGTGAAACACTAAGGCAGAAGTTCCTGCATTTCTTTAATGATTAGGCTACCTGCTACTCTGGGAAGAGCACACTACTTACCACTTCTTTTCATGAGATCTAACTGGAACACAGACATGCTCTTTCATTGCATATTACACAAAGCCTACCACTGTTTTTGTACCTCTTTAGTTCTGTATGGATCAGAAAGACTAAAATACTGATTTTCTAGCTCTGTGGATGACACTTACAATTCTTGTCCTAGAAAGTCTGGGGAAACTGAGTTTAGGAAGCTGTTGTGAAGACGAAGAAGGCTGTAATTTCTCAGAAAGCAATGAAACAAGATATTTCCTATCATATTTTAAAACTATTTGCCCACCTCTAAGTGAGAGAATTTCACATCACTTGGCTCTCACCCTTCATCTCCTGAGGTAAGCTCCTTCTGCCCGAGGGTCCCTGGCCCCCATGTCCGTCCCTTCTTCTTTGGGGCCCTCTTTTCCTCCTCTTCCCCTTCTTCTTTTGGAATGACAGAGCTCCGGCCCCAGGTTTTGCTGCTTTCGCCTGGTGTTACTATAAACAACAAAGATTGGATAAGATACAGAAGATGGACAAGAGGATCCTCTAAAACTAGCATCTATCACAGCAGGCAGACATACGCAGGCACATGCAGGTGGCTGCTTGCATGCACACACACAGGAAATAGACCTCATCAAAAACTCTGTGCCCAAGTGTACCCTTCCAGAAGAATAACGGAGTCCTCAGCACCAAATATTTAGCTCTCTTATAGCATGAAGCATGAAAAAAAAAAGTCAGAAATTTTCACAAGTCTAATGTAAAGCTGGAATTTAGGCTAGCTAGACCCTAAAGTTCTAAACAGATCTGACTCATGAACATGTTTTAATGGGTGGAACTGGATGGTGGGAGAATGAAGAAGTTGTTGGGGGAGAAAATTTTAAAAAAGACAAGGGATAAGAAAACATGGAAAGAAATGAACTTTGGGATAGAAAGGAAAACAATGAGTTCAGGAATATAGAGAAGTCAGGAAGAGGAGAAAGAGAAATAAGCCTAGAGAACTAGCAGCTAAGAGAGAAGGAACAGCCTTATGACATTGATACCTTAGAGCAAGAGTTAAAGCCCAAAATCTTCAGGGACCAGGTTTATACCACAAATAAGGGAAGTGAGCTAGTCACCAAAAACAGAGCTGAGAGAACAGAGGCAAATTATGGAGTATACGAAGACATGGCTGTCAGCTCCAGCCAACTGTAGACACAGGAAAAGGGAACTCATTGATCTAATTTTTCAAGGAGGTTCAGAAATACAGGATTTTAAAATGAATCCTACCTTCTAACTGTATAAAGGTATACATACACACACATATATACATATACCTATATAGTTATATATAAATACATTTTTAAAGGACAATAGTATAGTAAAAATAAAATTGACCTATCACTAGAAATTATTTGGCATTTTTTAAAGATTTTCTTTAGAGAAGTTCCTACTTGGGAAGCATGGGCAAAAAGACAAACAGGGAAGACACTGTGTGAATCCCCAGGCCAGGGTACCAACCTGTAGTTGCATTATATAAAAGTTTCCAAATTAACTCTGTAATTCACTAGAGACCTTTCAGTACCAACAAACAGCTGCACTAATATCTGATCAAGAGTGAAAGGTAAGCCAAAAAGTCCTAGCTACTTAGGAGGCTGAGATCTGTAGGATCATGATTCAAAGCACACTAGGGCAGAAAAGTCTGTGAGACTTTTCTCCAATTAATCAGCAAAAAGCCAAGCTAAAGACATGGTAGAGTGCCAGCTATGAGCAAGAAAACAAAGCAAGCACAAAGTGCTGAGTTCAAACCTTTGTACTGACATAAACACACACACACACACACACACACACACACACACACACACAAACCACATAACAAGAAAAAAAACACATAAAAAGAAAAAAAGAGTAAAGTATGGAGGAGATAGCAATGAAAATACAAAGAGACAAGAGGGAAGGCTAAGGGTTTGTATACATGTGTGTGTATATATATATATATATATATATATATACAGACTGCTAAGGAGAGCAGGCAGAAGTTAGGGACGGAGCAAGTCAGTGACTAGGTGGAGCAGGGGACAGGGTCTCCTGGTTGTTCTGGCCCCAAATAATTTGGGAAATTGTCTCACACTGGATGGCTCGAAGGCGAGGAATGATGGTGGGGCTTGCAGGAGGGCTGGAGCGGCTGCTGATAAGACTCTTCCTTTTATCCATGGTGGGGGAGGCCTGCACCGTGAACTTGTGCTGAAAATCTGCTAGGGGAAAAGAAATGTAATTGTATGTATTAGAACCATCCCATTATCGAATTCATTGACTAAATCTGAGGTCTCCTGGCAGGCCTGAAGGATAGGCCACCATTTTCTGAAAGCTGTATAGCTGGTAATGTCTTTGAGACTTATCTGTTTTTCCCAAAGGGACATGGCAAGATAATCGTATGAAATGACGTAAAATTCACTGGCTGAGTGAATGTCACTAGATAGTCTTCAAAAAGCTCCCTGTTTAATGTATACAAGGTGGAAGGATTATATATATATGGAGAACATCTTTTAGCTCATGAGATCTTGTTGATTATTTTAAGATGCGTAATTTAAAATTTTTTGGCATATAATCCCAGTACATGCCTTCTTTACAGGGCGCCTGATGCTTCTCACTAATTGCAAGAGGGTCGAATATTGAGAAGTGGCCCACAGTGGGATCCCAGGGAGATAAGGCAAGCAGCCCCAGTTTTAATATATTCAAAAGGCAGTTATGGTACAGCTTAAAGAATGTGACAGAAGTGGCGCTGTGGCTCAAGCGGTAGAGTGCTCGCCCTGAGCTGAAGAGTGCAAGGACAGCACCCAAGCCCAGAGTTCAAGCCCCAAGACCAGAAAAAAAAAGAAAGAAAGAAAGAAAAAGAAAAGACAAGAATGTGACAACTTTCAGCTCTGAATTTCTGAGTCTAATCTGCTCATATATCAAAGAGGTATAATAAACATCTGTTTGTTTGTATTTAGATCTCCCTACAACTGGAGACTATAGCTTTTACGCCTGCATCCCCAGCTAGTGATATCCTGGCCTGGCCTAGGCTAGATAATAAGAGGTACTTAAAGACACCATGCATCTGAAAAGAAAAAGAAAAAAAAGCAGTAAAACCAGTAAGTCAGTCTCAAGAGCACATTTTCTCAATTGCGCTGAATGAATTCCTTTGTCTGTGCCCAAGCCGCCATTGTTAAGGCTTAAAATCACCCACAACTGCCTTGTTCCTCACTTCTAATAAGCTTGCTTCCTGGAGCCTTCAGGAATCAGAACACAAAGAACATTTTTATCTATATAAAGACACTTGAGCACCTAACTCCCTCTCTATAGGTACGTTATATACCAAAAATATTATAATTTACAGCTTCACATTTCTTTTCATTTTCCCCAAGACTGAAACAGATCACTTCTGAAAGGCTATTTATAAACCTTACAATGTAAATTTATTTTGGCTTTTTTTCTTTTGGGGAGGAGAAGGGGTATTACTATGTACTCCAAGGCTGGCCTTGAAATCAATCTTCCTGCCAGTCTCCTCAGTGCTAGAATTAAAGTGGGTTGTTTTGTTTGTTTTTGTTGTTTGTTGGTTGTGGGGCTTGAACTCTGGGCCTGGGCGCTGTCCTTGAGCTCTTCAACTTAAGGCGAGCACTCTACCTTTTGAACCACAGCACCACTTCCAGTTTTCTGGTGGTTAATTGGAGAGAAGAGTCTTACAGACTTTCCTACCCAAGCTGGCTTTGAACTGTGATCCTCAGATCTAGCCTTCTGAGTAGCTAGGATTACAGGTGTGAGCCACTGGCTCACACTGACTTAAATTCTCATAATGAAGTCTAATCTCAACTGCATTTTACAAAATTATTTAAATAAGCCTCAAGATGACTTGTTTTACAGAGCCAAATCCTTGTGTCTCATATATATCTATATCTATATAGATATAGATATGAATTCCTGCCACCCACCCTTTCCCATCCTGCCTATAGTGAGATGTGGGTGAGCTGCCACATTTCAAAGTGCCTGGGCCTTGCAAGTCTGTCTTCACTTTAATTTCTGCCTTCACTCTCATCCAATGGTTCCCCCCTTCAAGTAAGGCCATATTTTAGCAAGCCAGTTCTTTACTGAAAAGAATGGCCCGTTCCAACAGGCATTATTTTGACTCAGGAATTTGAGTTTCTAAGCTGAGCCATGACGCCCACAAACCCTCCTGCCACACTGAGTCTTGATCCTGCTCCTAATTCCCGCTGCTGGCCACTGACCAGAAGGAAGGCTGATTCGGTTGCCATCCTTGAGCTTCAGCCGGCTCTTCCTGAACTTGCCCTTGCGTTTCTTCACCCGGGGCTTCTCCTGGCACAGCTGGTGGATGATGATGTTGAGTTCCCGTTCCAGAATATCAATCTCCCGCTCAGCCAGCTCCTGTTCTCGACGCCGCAGCAACTCTTCTTGGTTCTTTTGCTGGAGCGCAGCCCGTGTCAACTCCTCTTCCCAAGTGCGGAGCTCCTGTAAGTGGGTAGAACCATCGGAGGAAAGACTGAAATGCTCTGTGTAGAGGTAATCTGGGATAGAGCCTGAGCTGTCCAGTGGAGAGAAGGGGCTCAACAGTTAAGTGGGCAAGTGAACATCTGACCATCCTGAGTATGGGGAGAGGAAGCTTCGGGGCAACCATACAAAGGACGCAGCAAGAGAAGTTAATGGGTTGGGAATGTGGCTTAGTGGTAGAGTGCTTGCCCAGCATGCATGAAGCCCTGGGTTCAATTCCTCAGTACCACATAAACAGAAAAAGCCAGAAGTGGTGCTGTGGTTCAAGTGGCAGAGTGCTATCCTTGAGCAAAAGCAGCTCAGGGACAATGCCTAGGCCCTGAGTTCAAGCCCCAAGACTGGCCAAAAAAAAAAAAAGGAGAGGTAAATGTCACAGGCCAGGGGTTGGGGGAGTCAAGTGGACACACAAGTAACGAAGTGTTAATAGAATAATAAACAAGAATTATCTTATTAACACAATTCACACCACTTATTACAGAGTACAGCATATGCTCTACAAACGTCAGATGTTTTCAGAATGAGTTTCACTTCCTGGAATAGTAGTGCCCCTCATCTTTGTGTATCTTCTTTTCCAAGACTCTCAGAGGGTGCTTTAAACCACACATAGGAGCGTTTCTTCCTAGAACACACCATCAGAGGTGGTGTGATTGATTTGCAGGTGAGATAGAAAACGATCTTATCATATTTCTCAAAAGGCAATGCAATTTGACTTACTACTTTTGAAATTTTCCATATAATGTTTGTGAAGGGTGATTAAAACCACAGGAAGTGAACCATGGACAAGGGAACAGGGTAATTATTAACTACTTACTGATTAAATCTAATTATAATTTTTCTCATTAGCTTATATAATTTATTATTATATTATAATTTTATCAATCAGAAAAAGAGCCAAGAGTCAATAATTTAGCAAGCCTATAAAAAGCCAGCCACTCTGGGAGTTCTTTTATCTGGAACAGTAGTAGTTTTCTTGTGATCATTCCATCAATAGTCTCAATTCATAATCCTTTCCATAAAGACATGAAAAATGCCACACAATTTCAGATCCATGATACGTCTGGCTCTTATCCTATTTCTGACTCTGATATCAAAAGATAATGGCAGAATTTTCTGATAGCTACTGTCAACATTTAAGTATCTCTATATGAAGTCAGCTTCCCTCTAGAAATCCACTGTAGAACCAAGAAACTTTCCAGAATCCTCTCATTTTCCAAATGAAAGGATGAGATACCCCAGTGGTAGCTTTCCAACAGTATTCTTTCTTTGGCTTACACAGTTAAGTAGATACCAAACAGGAAAGTGATTGCACCAGGATTTAAGATCACACCAGGATCAAGGTGGCTGTGCAGACTTAAAACTAGAGCTCCCCAGTTGAAAAGGTCCACTAAGTCAATATATCTTTTTTCTCTTTTTTACCTTTTCTTTGGCTCTGAGTTGGTCAAACATCTCCTGAATCTCATGTTTCCAGTCATCCTGCAGGCAGTGGAAGGAGTCTTTGGGCATTTCAAAGAAACCAGACTCCTCTATGGTAGTTAGCTGGTCCAGGATACTTGTGAAAGATGGTCGTGAATGGGGATCAGGATTCCAGCAGTCTGAATGGCCCATATGAGGAACAGAAGGCACAAATGGACAAGAGGCAAACATAGATTTACTTAACTTACAAACATAGATTGCTTAACTTACCAGGAAACTATCATTCAATTTCTTCTTCTAGAAACAGAGACGAGAATCTAAATAACCACAAGCAGGACTCGGGAAGTAGATTTTTACCTAACATCACAACCATATTATAGTGAAAGTCAGCAGTTCCCCATCCATACAGTTTTTTTTTTTTTTTTTATCAAGTACTACTATCACAATTTGCCATGTTTCTACACAATACAAGGCTCAACAATAGCTAACTGCAGGCTGGGCCTTAATTTCCCATAAATTCATTCACTGCTTTTCTCCCACCTGGTGGAAGGAAGAAAAGACAAAGATAAAGGCAAGCAAGGTGGAGTCAGGAAAAGCAAATTTTGTTTAATCTCCGCCCAGTCACTAACTAATGGGATGGCAACTCCCTCTCACCTCCCAGACAGGGTCTTGCTATATGAGCCTTGCCTGGCCTTGAACTTGGATCCTGCTGTCTCTGTCTTCTGAGTGCTTTACTACTTATCCTCTTAAACTTGTTCAGATTTGTATTTCTCTCTTATAAAAGACTAGATGACTTCAGGTATTCTTTCTTCTTAAATGCTCAAAGGTCTTGAAATAAACCTACTATACTTCCTTAGGTTTTAAGTCAGTGAAGTAGCAGGTTCCAGTTACTAAATTTTCTATTGCTGTGGGAGAGCAATGTAGAGCATGTAGAGCAAAGGGGACCTGTCTTAGCAGGGTGTTGCCACCTTTTTTTTTTGGCCAGTCCTGGGATCCCAGTAAGATTTATCTTTTTATAGCACTTGGTAGATGTTGGGAGGGAGGATTTTTTGTTTTGTTTTTGTTTTTGCCAGTCCTGGGGCTTGAACTCTGGGCCTAGGCACTGTCCCTGCTCTTCTTTTGCTCAAGGCTAGCACTCTACCACTTGAGCCATAGCACCACTTTTGGCCTTTTCTGTTTATGTGGTACTGAAGTATCAAACCCAGGGCTTTATGCATGCTAGACAGGCACTCTACCACTAAGCCACGTTCCCAGCCCCCTTTACCACTGTTTTTAATAAACTGATGCAGGGCTCTTTCCTGGGTAACTAAAACTTCTATCTCAGCCAGGTGCCAGTGGCTCACCTGTAATCCTAGCTACTCAGGAGGCTGAGATCTCAGGATCATGTTTCGAAGCCAGCCCAGGCAGGAAAGTCCGTGAGCCTTTTATCTCCCATTAACCACCAGAAAACCAGAAGTAGTGCTGTGGCTCAAATTGGTAGAGTGCTAGCCTTGAGCTGAAGTACTCAGGGACAGCGCCCAGGCCCAAAGTTCAAGCCCCATGACTGACCAAAAAAAAAAAAAAAATTCTCCCCTTCCTTTGACTGATCTCATGAAATGGGTCAACATTTGCCAAGTGCTATAAAAAGATAAATCTTACTGGGGTACCAGTGGCTCATGCCTATAAACTTAGCTTCTTAGGAGGCCAAGATCTAAGGATCATAGTTCATAGTTTAAAGCACACAAGCACGCATGCATGCACAAGCTGGAAGCAGAGCTACGGCTCAAGTGGTAGAGCTTTGAAAAAGCACAAGGACAGCACATACAGGCCAGAGTTCAAGCCTTAGGACTGGCAAAAAAAAAATTTTTTTTTCTCCAGTTATTTCATGCTAAGGATGACTTACCTTCCATGAGTTTGGCAAAAGGTTCTGGGCATGTAGAAGGAATAGGAAGGGCAAGTTTATTCATTGCCACTCCATATGCCACAGCTAAGCCATCAATGCCTCGGAACGGTACCTCACCAGTCAACAGCTCCCAAAGCAATACACCATAACTAGGGAGAGGAAGAGGAAAAAGGTCAGGTAACAAACTAGTTTCAACCTCACTGAAACAGCTCATGAGGCTTTACCAAGCATCCCACCTTGGTATGAGAGCAACAAAATAGACATGCTAACGCAACAGAAAAAAGTAGCTACAGCCTATTAGCTAAAGCAAAGACTCTGAAGTAGAGTACAGGTAGTTTCAAAGTCTTATTTATTCTGTCATTCTTAGGAACTTGCTTGGGTGAACTACTATTTCTCGCTATACCGCTAATTGCTCCTTTGTAGAGAACAAATATCACTACCAACTTCACAAAGCTGTCTTAAAATTAAATGAACAAATAAGGGCTTAAATAAGTGCTCAAAGGCTACAATTATTTATTAACATTACTGAAGCAAAAACAGAAGAGGCAGCCTTTCAAACATAATCTTTTAGTGTTTTTAGAAAACCAGCTTTTCGGAGCTGGGAAGGTGGCTCAGTGGTAGAGTGCTTGCCTTGCATGCATTAAGGCCCTGGGTTCGATTCCTCAGCACCACATAAGCAAAAAGAAAAAAAAAGCCGGAAGTGGCGCTGTGGCTCAAGTGGTAGAGCGCTAGCCTTGAGCTGAAGAGCTGAGGGACAGCGCCCAGGCCCAGAGTTCAGACCCCACAACCGGACCCCCCCCAAAAAAAAGAAAACCAGCTTTTCTGAGATACATTTTTTTAGCTTTAGAAAGGTAAAAGGTTGTACTTAATATGTACTACTGAGTTCAATGTCATGTATCAACTCTCCCCACATACAAAAAAAATTAAAAGGGCTGGGAAGTTGGCTCAGTGGTAGAGCACTTGACTTGCATGCATGAGGCCCTGGGTTCAATTCCTCAGCACCACATAAACAAAAAGAAAAAAGCCAGAAATGGTGCTGTGGCTCAAGTGGTAGAGCGCTAGCCTTGAGCTGAAGAGCTGAGGGACAGCGCCCAGGCCCAGAGTTCAGACCCCACAACCGGACCAAAAAAAAAAAAAAATTAAAAAATACAGAAAACAGAAAATAAAAAATAGCTGACCGCTCAACACAAATTTTGTTCCTATAAAATTTTTCTCTAGCCAGGCACTGGTGGCTCACACCTGTAATCCTAGCTACTCAGGAGGCTGAGATCTGAGGATGGTGGTTCAAAGCCAGCCCAGAAAAGTCTTCATGAGACTCTTATCTCCAATTAACTACAAAAACCAGAAATGGTACTGTGGCTCAAGTGGTAGAGCGATAGCCTTGAGTACAAAGAGGCTCAGGGACAGAACCCAGGCCCTGAGTTCAAGCCCCACAACTGACCTATATATATATGTTGAATATATATAATATATAATATATTAAATATATATTTTTTTCCCTCTAAATGTCCTCTAGACCAAGATTCCTGGACCCCAATGAGCCCTTCACAGAGACTTCTGTCTTAATTGAAAGGATGAAATTTCATAAGGAGGACAGAGCATGCTGTCAATAGTGTATCCTCCCTACCTTTTAAGTCCAGATAAACATTTCATATGCCCTTTGAGTCAGAGAATGTAAAGAACAAAATTCAGTGGAAGAATTATTCTACAATTCACAACCAAATCAAGCAAAATAACATAGCATTTTCAAGCAAAATAACATAGCATTTAATTCTCCAATGAATCAGTTACGACAAGAAACCTAAAGATTATGATCAGAAGACTTGATTTCATTATATTTTTAACAGTAACTGCAAATTTCTGTAGTATTTATCAGCAGTATGCAATAGCCAACTAAGGCCAAGTAAAATATCCAGTATTTATCATGATACTTAATTTGTTCATTGGAGAAAGGGTCTTGTCTTGCTGTAGAGCCCAGGCTGGCCTGGAATTCATTATCCTTCTGTCTTAGCTTCCCAAGTATAGAAATGCAGGTGTGCACCACTACGTCCTGTTGTTATTTCTGTTTTTTCATTGTTATGATTGGACAGGGTTTTGAGTAGCTTGACAGTACTCAACTACAGCCACACCATTAACCTATCATGATACAGTTTTCTATGTGCAGACTGCTAAGAAACTTTATTAAGATTATCTTAAATCCCTACAAGAAGGATGCAAGGTATTATAATTATCTGGCAGATGAGGGAAGAGATTCATTCATTAGTGGTATATACATACATGATAATGCCCTTCTACCATTTCTCTGCATCCTAAAAATTAATCATGTCTCAAAACCCAACACAGTTGTAAAGTTCGTTTTTTGATATAACAACTTGTACATCTCAATGTTTCAATGGGTCCACCTGTATCCCTATTTGAACGATTTGTTGTTACAACTTTAGCCTGGGGAGGGAGGGTGGGAGGATGGGGGTGTGGGAGATGGGAAGGGGAAACAAAGGAGGAGGCAACAATGCTTGATAAGAAATGTGCTCATTACCTTGACCATGTAATTGTAACCCCTCTGTATGGTATTTTCACAATAAAAAAAAAACCAACACAAATTCCCCTTCATTTCTCAATCATTCATATTAAACATCCACTAAATACTTTTCATAAAGCTAAATGTTAGTGTGATGAAGGATAAAAGACAGATCTTACTCATAAAGCTATTGGTACTCTTCTACTTGAGCCACACCTCCAGTCCAACCACCCCCATTTAAAAAAAGAATAAGGTCTCACTTTTTGCCTAGCCTTTCTGGATCTGATTAAACAGCCAGTTTTTCTGTCCCCTTTACTTTTACAATGAAAAGTGACTGACATAAATGAAGACTCGGCATTTCTCTGGCAAGGAAAGTCCAAGAATGAAACTAGGGAAGTACAACTTAGGTGCCTCTGAGCACTAGGGTAGGTGGGCAGCAGAAGTCAGTACAGTTTCCTCAGCTTTAGATTACTGTATTGCCCTCTAAAGGTTGGAAGACAAAGTCTCATCAAGACCATTTATAAGCAGTTTGGAAAGACAAGCACAGCTGAATCTGAATCTCTCCTTGCAACATAGAACCATTAGTTCCTACACAGCCTAATCCTGATTACTAATTACCCAGATCAAGAGCTTCAATAATACATTTCAAAGTGTCAGATTTGGGGAAAGGGATTTAATTTTTTGAAAATAAGGTCAGATCAGATTGGGACTCTTCCCAACCAAAGGCACAGCAAACTCTATACCTGATCTTTTTTTCTTAGTAGACTGTTATCCTTTAAGACTGTGCCAGCTTGGGCCCTGAGGAATTCCTGATCTGTGACTCCACAATCCAAGAACCTCACTATCTAATAATCTTTGGCAAAATAAATGAAAAGCCACTCTAGAAATTGTAAAGCATCATACAATTGTTGTTGTTAACTCATTCAAACTGATATATTTATCAACATGTACATGCAAAGCATACATTACAAAGGCGATAGGGAGAAATGAGTCTAACCAAGGGTCTACTTAAAAGGAAGAGTGAGAGGGGAGAAAATACATTGCAACTATATATAAAAGCAATAAAGAACCTCAAAAAAAGCTGTTAATAGGAGTCTGGAGGTAGGGAAAGAAAAACAGGCTCTGTTGGGGAGGTGAGTACTCTTATTAGCTGGATGGAATTAAGCTAACAAGGAGGGTGAGTGAGGATGAATATGGGAAAATAGAAGGCTTGCATGTATGGAAACAGAACAATGGAACTTGTTAACATTTTTTAGAAAAGGGGCAAGGGAGAGAAATACAGGTGGTGAGACAGATGAGAATTCATTGTATACAAGAGTAGAAGTGCCTTAATGAACCTCCTAACTTGTGTATGCTAATAAATAATCTTTTCAATAAATAGTGCTAGGACAACTTAATACCACATTGGAAAAAAAAAAGTTGATCTGGATGCATGGCTCAAGTGGTAATAATACTGAAATTCAAACTCCAGTACCATCAAATAAAACAAAAAGATCAACACCTACCTCATACCACATTAAGAAAAAAAAAATCAAAAATGGATCAGAAACCTAAATGCAAAAGGTAAGATTATAAAATTTTTAGAAGAAAACACAGGTGAAAATCTTCATTACTTTGGAATAGGTAACGATTTCTTAGACATAATTCTAAAAATAATAAAAGTAAAATGGACTCCCATCAAGCTAAAGTATTTATATTTCAAAGGCCATCAAAGTAAAAAAATATATATACACAGAATGGGAAAAAAATTTACAGATCATTTATCTGGGAGAGGACTTGTATGCAGAATATATAAAGAACTCTTGCCAGGTACTGGTAGCTCATGCCTGCAATTCTAGCTACTCAGGAGACTGAGGTCTGAGTACTGTAGATCAAAGCCAGCCTGGTCAAGAAAGTCTATGAGACTCTCTCCATTAACCACCAAAGAGTCAGATGTGGAGCTGTGGCTCAAGTAGTAGAGTGCTAACTTGGAGCACAAAAACTTAGGGATAGCACCCGGGACTTGAGTTTAAGCCCCAGGACTGGCACCACAAACAAACAAACAACCCCCCTTCCAGCTTGCTCATAATGTCCATAGTAGTATATTAGTCATAAAGCTCCAAAGAAAAAACAACCCAATTGCCTATACCTGATGAATAAAGAAATATGGCCTAGTTATATAATGGAATACTATAAACCAGTAAAAGAATAAATTTCTGATGTAAGTTACCACACAGAGGACTCTTGAAAACATTATGCTAAACAAAAGTACATGGTCTCTATGATTCCAGTTATGTGAAATGCCAAGAGCAGGCAACAGCGACAGAAAATAAGATAGTGGTTGCTAGGGAACAGGGGGAGGACAAATTGGGGAATGATTCATTATAGTTATGGGGTTTCTTTTTGGGTGATAAAAATGTTCTAGCAATACACAGTGGATAGTAAGTAGGGTTAATGATGGCCCTAAAAAGATTTGTCAATATCCTATTATCTGGAAGTTCTCTGGATTTGGGTCTCTGGAGGACGTAAGCCATGCTAACACTCATTTCAGACTTCAGGCTCCCAAAACTATGAAAGAATAGATTTCTGTTGCTTTAAGCTAAGTGATCTATGGTATTTACTATAGCAGCCTAGGGAAGCTATTAACAGCTTTGTGTGTCAGGAAGCACTGACTGAATATACCAAAACACATCGTCTTTTGTGTGTGTGTGTGTTTTTGTAAATCAAGGTGAAGTACCTGTCCCATAGCCATGAGGAATTATATACTTGGTAGCTGCTCATTCTCCTCCACTAAGGAGAAGGAAAAAAAACAGTCTGTGCCAGTATTGAGGCTTGAATTGAGGTCCTCACTTTCTTACTTGGCTTTTTCACGCAAGGCTGGAGCTCTACCACTTGAGCCATTGAGCCATACCTCCTTTTCTACAATAGTTTTTTGTTTGTTTGTTTTTTAAAATCTCTTGTCTTTGTGACCTCTCATCCTGACATTTAATAGGGGGAAAAGTTATAACCTGTAGTTCTTGGGGAACACTTAGGATGCAACTCCTTCCATTTCTAGACCAACATCCAATTAGCAGAGCCTTGAGTAAAAAAAACACAAAAACTGGGCTGGGAAGGTGGCTCAGTGGTAGAGTGCTTGTCTTGCATGCTTGAGGCCCTGGGTTTGATTCCTCAGCACCACATAAGCAAAAAGAAAAAAAAAAGCCGGAAGTGGCGCTGTGGCTCAAGTGGTAGAGAGCTAGCCTTGAGCTGAAGAGCTGAGGGACAGCGCCCAGGCCCAGAGTTCAGGCCCCACGACCGGACCCAAAACAACAACAACAACAACAAAAACACAAAAACTGGATAATTACAGAGGTTAATTTCAAAAGCCACCAAAAAGAAAAAAGGAAAAAAGAAGAAAACCAATAATACAAAGAATATTCATTGTGTATCCCTGGTTACAGCAATAATAAGCCCTGAAGCTCAGCACCATTACTGAGAGAGCCAAGTCAACTACCAGGGAAGAACTCCAGGAGTGATAGAGTGCTCTTGGGCAGAGTAGCCTTTTCTCAGGAGCAATCTCCACCACAAAGGGGTCTGCACAGGGTGGTGCTTGCCACAGCAATGTAAGGGTTTTCTTTGGTAGAGGAAAGCATAGGCCTGTCCCTTAGCACTATGATGGGAATTAGTATAGATCGCTTGAAAGGCGTCACTTAGACCTGCTTGGGTTGGATTCTCTGTGACCTCTATTCTTCAAGTCCTGAGAAGTGTGTGCAGGCAGGCAGGCAAAACAGATCTGGACCAGTGCCCTCACACCTCTAGTCCTTACCTCCACACATCACTGCCTTTGGAAAACATGGAGGCACGAATGACTTCCGGTGCCATCCAAGCATACGTTCCTGCTGCACTCATCTTGGTGGTCCGGTGCCATTCCCGAGCCAGGCCAAAATCAGTGATTTTCAGAATCTTGTTGCTCAGGTCTCCATTTTCCACCTTCTGCAGGATCAGTACTGGGCAAGAACAGAAAAGAAATAAGAAACCAGATCTGCATTCATCAGAGGGAAAGCACTGAACGCAGCTATCCTCCTGGACTCGCCTTCAGGCTCCATCATTCTGCTATGATGGACTGATGGTAGGATCCATCACATCTTAAACACTGACAATGCACTCATTTTTGTGTCACATATTTTCTAGGCACTACCTTTAATTCTCACCAGAACCTTAGACTGTAGGTACTACTAATCCAAAAATGACATAGGGGTACTCAACCATTAGTCAACACAGATATTGCAAAATCTTGAAAAAATATTCAGAATCTACTATTCTTCTAGTATTTAGGAGAGGAAGCAATCAACCTATATTGTCATCTTTATTTAATGAAGAAACTCTTATGTAAAACTGCTAAAATTCCAGAGGCCACTCAATGCAGCTAAGGCTGGATCTTAGGCTATATGATACCACAGGCCTTTCACATCTTCTGGGAGAAGAGCTAGTTGTGTGTTACAGGCATCTTTCTGAGCAGCAGCTGCTTTAGTATTCAATCTGCCAGGATAACCCTAGTTAAAACCATTTGCAGGTCGCAGGGGAGGGAGGTGCATGTTCTATTTTCAAGGTTTCATATAGTATCTGGACACTATCCATAAATCTCTCCACACTTGCCTTATGCTCTTTGGAGAAAACATATCTATCAGGCTCCAAAGATTTCTGCATAAGCCAGAAATGCTCCATCCCACTAAGAAATGGCTGAAAAATTAGGGAAGTCAGAGGCACATCCATGATGTAGATATGTGCCAGAAAGAAGCTGGTGCACTGGCACAGTTTTTCTCTGAAACCTAAATTACACCAGGCTCTAACTTCCAAGTACTATTGCGGGAGGCATCATGGCTGTCCTAGGACAGCAGCCTAGGCAGCACCTCACCCCTGTGACAGTCCCATTCATAAATGTATCCTGATAGGAGCCAATCTCACAAAAACCACCAAAGCTATTAATTTATTCATGTATTGTAACAAATTGCCTAAGTGGGCACCTGGGGACTCTCTGGATACGTGGAAAGTAAGCCTCCGTTTTCCTAAGTGGGATGTTTCCAAAGGCTCTACAGGAGGACAGCCTCTCATAAGCCAGACACTGGGCTGCTTAAGACTTCTGGGTTCTGAATGCAGGATTTCACAGCAGGAAGCCAGATTCCCTCCTCCTCATCCCTGCTACTCAAATCTAAACGGTGAGTGTGACAAGGGAAACTGCAGAAGACAGACTGAAACTAGGAACTACTTTGTCTAGCCAGCTCTGTCTGAAGACTGAAAGTAGTTCTAAGCTCTACGTGTCAGGTTATCCCAGAGGATGCCCCACAAGTTGGTCCTTCCTGGTTTGCTTTCCATTTTGCTTCTGATGAAAGCTATCACTTCTAAAGATGTATTTCATCCCAACACTCTGAAAGCACAAACTCTTCCAGAAAAGAATCTAGGACAGTGGCACTTTGGATGGATATTTCAGGGCAGGGGTGGAGTCTCACAGCCACAAGGTTCTTTGGCTATTCACTGAATTATCAGAGATTGAAAGGATACAAAGCAAATTGCTTTATGTTCATATGTGCTTCCCAGAAAAGCAGCAACATGCATGATTACGAGCAGCTACAGAGTTCATGACACAAAACAATCCCCACCCTCAATCCCTGTCACATGTATCCCCACTCCAGGCTTCCTACATACTGAGAAAGTACAGGCCTCAGATGCTTAGGCAAATCTAAAAAGAGAGGAGGGGGAGGGGAAAGGAGGGAGAGAAAGAACAACAGCAACAACAAATCCTTTCTCCTGCTTATCTATTAACAAAACAAAACAAAAAATCCAATCTTCTGTGGCAGACAGCTAGCAAGTAGACATTCAAATAGCCAGGCAGGTATCACTAAAGAAACCCACCATTTTCCTGCAGAAGCAGCCACCAGGCACTGTTTGCCTCTGAGAAGACTACACCAGGAGGCATAGGGAGTCTGTCCCAGGCATACTCAGGGGGGCTCAGCCTTGTCACTTCAAAGCCCCAGGTAGCTGGAGCAGGGTCAAGTGGGGGAGGAAGGAAAGTCTGTCAGATGGATTACAAAGGATGGTAGGTGGATGGGAAAGGACCAGCCAGAGGGTCTCTGTGAATGGGAATGCCTGAGACCGTTTAGCTACAGGCCAGCTCCACCTAATCTCCATTGTCCCTGCTGCCTGACACCCAGATGGTGCTCCAACACTTGCCCTGACTGCTCAGGTCTCAATGCCTGGCCCCAAGCCGGGCACTGGTGGCTAACGCCTGTAACCCTAGCTACTCAGGAGGCTGAGATCTGAGGATCACGGTTCAAAGCCAGCAAGCCAGCCAGGACAGGAAAATCTATGAGTCTCTTATCTCCAATAAACCACTCAGAAAACCAGAAGTGATGCTGTGGCTCAAGTGGTAGAGGGCTAGCCTTGAGCTGAAGAGCTCAGGGACAGGGCCCAGGCCTAGAGTAGAAGCCCCATAACCAAAAAAAAAAAAAAAAAGAATACCTGGCCTAGAGGTGCTACTCTCATCCAAGAAGAGGGGCTGTAATCAGAAATTAACTAGAAATCTTAGCAATAGTTATCTACCAAACACTAAAATTGTGATAGTTTTATTCTTTATTTCCTGAGATTAAATCTATATAACATAAAATCAACCATTTATTTATTTATTGGTGATCGTGGGGCTTGAATCCCCCTAATCACTCATTTCAACTTCTCTTGGGAGACAATGCAATTAATTTTATTTTATTTTTTGGTTGGTCATGGAGTTTGAACTCTGGGCCTGGGCGCTGTCCCTGAGCAAATCTTTTGCTCAAGGTGAGCAGCACTCTACCACTTGAGCCACAGTACCACTCCCAGCTTTTTTGAGTAATTTATTGGAGATTAAGAGTCTCATGGAGTTTCCTGCCTGGACTTGCTTCGAACTACATTCCTTAGATCTCAGCCTCCTGAGTAGCTAGGATTCCAGGTGTAAGCCACCAGCACCTGGCTAAGCATTAATTTTTTAAAGAATAGTAAACTTTTCCATAGCAGTTGAATGCTTTTTAAAATTCCGCCACAGAATGAGGATTCTCAACATCTTTTCTAACATTTATATTCATCATAATAACTTATTTACTATTATTATTATTAAATTGCCATCTTAATGCATGTGAAGTAATATCTTACTGAGATTTGGAGTTGTGTTTCTCTAATGGACTAATGATGCTACTAAGCATCTTTTCGCGTGCATATTAGATATTTATTTATCTTCTTTGGAGAAGTATCTACTCAATCCTCAACTCATCTTTTCGGTGGTTGGTTTAGCTTGTTATTGTTGCACTATAAGAATTCTTTATATGTTTTCAAATTAGACTTTTATTAGACATAGAATTTTCAAATATTTTTTCTACTCTGTAGGTTGTCTTTTAACTTACTAAATTCCTTTGGAATAAATGTTTTTAATTTAACTGAATTCCACTTATTTTTCTTTATTTTGTTGCTCATACTTTTGGAATAATAACTATGAATCCATTACTAAATCCAACATCATAAAGATTTATCTCTAAGTTTTCTTCTTTTAGGTGAGGGGAAGAACTGGGGGTTAAATCAAGGACTTGTACTTGGTAGGCAGGTACACTCCTATTAGAACCAAGTTCCCAGTCCTTTTTGCCTGATTTTAAACAGAGCCTTACATTTATGCCTAGGCTTTGATCCTCCTATTGACATTTCCCATACTACTTGGATAATGGTTCACACACTACACTTAGCATTTACTTAAATGAGAGGGGGTTTTGTGAACTTTTGTGCCTAGACTGGCCTCAAACCATTTCACCAGATCTCTGCTTCCTGGCTTTGATTTTAGTTCTGTTCTGTTCTTTTATTTCTTTCTTGTGCCAGTGAACTGAGGGCTTTGTGTTCTTGCTTGGTTTTTAACTCAAGGCTGGTGCACTATCACCTGAGCCCACACCTCCACTTCTGGCTTTTTGCTGGTTAGCTGGAATTAAGAATCTCTTGCATTGGTCTCCCAGGCTGGCTTCAAACCTCAATCCTCAGATTTCAGCCTGGTGAAAAGCTAGATTACAGGTATGAGCTACTAGTGTCGACTCTATATTGTCTTAAAAAAATAACTTTATAAATTTTAGATCACTATAGTAAATGAAAGAGCTAAATATTCTAACACTGTGTAAATTAGATGAAAACAAAAATAAGTACTAGCCGGGTGCTGGTGGCTTATATCTGTATTCCTAGCTACTCAGGAAGCTGAAATCTAACAACCATAATTCAAAGCCAGCCTGCATAGACAAATCTACTGACTCTAATCTTCAATTAACTAGCAAAAAGCCTGAAGCTGCAGTATGGCTCAAGTGGTGGAGTGCCAGTTGTGAAAGAAAAAACCCAGTGAGACATCAGGGCCCAGAGACTGCACCAAAAAAGACAGAAAAAAAAAAAAAGGTATGTTTTAGTAGCTCTTACTCATGAGCAAAGTTCTGAGCCTAAGGCCTGTGTTCTGTTAGAAAGTAAAGATTGAGGGCTGGGAAGGTGGCTCAGTGGTAGAGCGCTTGACTTGCATGCACGAGGTCCTGGGTTCGATTCCTCAGCACCACATAAGCAAAAAAGAAAAAAGCCGGAAGTGGCACTGTGGCTCAAGTGGTAGAGTGCTAGCCTTGAGCTGAAGAGCTGAGGGACAGCATCCAGGCCCAGAGTTCAGGCCCCACAACCGGACAAAAAAAAAAGAAAGTAAAAATTGAAAATATCAGAGAGAGCATATGCCAGTGGCTCATGCTTGTAATCCTAGCTACTCAGGAGGCTGAGATCTGAGAATCGTGGTTCAAAGCCAGCCCTGGCAGAAAAGTCCATGAGACTTTTATTTCCAATTAACCACCAGAAAAACAGATGTGGTGCTGAGGCTAAAAATGGTAGAGTATTAACCTTCAGCAAAAAAGCTCAGGGGAAGCACCCAGGCTCTGAGTTCAAACCCCATGAGTGACCAAAAAAAAAGGAAAAAGAAAAGAGA